TGGGTGTGGTTTGGGGTTTGTGGGCGGGACTTGGGGTTTGTGAGTGGAGTTTGGGGCCAGTGGGTGTGGCTTGGGGCCTGTGGGTGGAGTTTGGGGATTGTGGGTGGGGTTTAGGGCTTGTGGGTGGGACTTGGGGTCTGTGGGCATCGTTTGTGTCTGGGGGGCGGGGCTTGACATCTGTGGGCATGGTTTGGGGTCTGTGAGCGTGGCTTGGGGACTGTGGGCGTGGCTCAGGTGGGATCAAACACCGAGGTGGTAGAGGGGGTATGGCCTCTTGGGGGCGTGGCCTTAAACCCCACCCCTTCCAGCCATCGACCACACCCCCGCCCTCGCCCCATTGGCCTCCTACCCCCGCCTGGCTCACCTGGGATTGGCTGAGACCCCCCTGAGCTCCGCCCCCGAGGGCCCCGCCCAGCTGGCCCAGCTCCTCCCCCGGGTCGACGTCGCCTGGACCTGATTGGCTGCTGGGACGGAGGTCACGCCCACCCGCATGTTGCTGCTGGCCACGCCCCCTTTTGGGCTTGGCCCCGCCCCCCCCGTGTCTAATAAAGTGATGTCACAGTGGGAGAGGTCAGTTCTTTGGGGGGGCTCTCCCAGTGCCTCCCAGTACAGCCCAGTTACCCCCCAGTGACCTCCCAGTTCCATCCCAGTGCAAACCAGTATGGCCCAGAGCCTCCCAGTGACCTCCCAGTTCCATCCCAGTACAAACCAGTATGGCCCAGAGCCTCCCAGTGCCCTCCCAGTCCATCCCAGTCCCTCCCCGTTCATCCACCTGTCCTCCCACTGCCTGACCAGTGCTCCCAGTAAGCCCCCCCAGTGTGTCCCAGTGCCACCCCAGTCCCTCCCAGTCCATCCCAGTGCCTCTCAGTGCTCCCAGTCCCTCCCAATCCCCTCCCAGTCCCTCCCAGACCCTCCCCGTTCCTCCCAGACCATCCCAGTCCCTCCCAGTCCCCTCCCAGACCCCGATCTCTCACTCCCGCCTCTCGCTTACATAGCGCGTTCAATTAGCATATCATTTGCATGTCATTGTGACATCATAGGTGGGCGGGGGCCCCCCTGGCCACCAGGAGGGTCTCCCCGGCCACGTAGGAGGCCCCCGGGGAGCCCAGACTGGGGGGGACTGGTTAGACTGGGAGCCACTGGGAGGGACTGGGAGGGGACTGGGGGGCACTGGGAGGAACTGGGAGGGACTGGGACTGAACTGGGACTGAATTGGGAGGGACTGGGAGGCCCCCGGGGAGCACAGGAAGGTCACGGCCTTGGCCCCGTCCCGCGGGGAGCCCAGACTGGGGCCCCGAAAACTCTGCAAAAACACCCCCAAAAAAAGGGTCTCGTGACGTCACCGCCCCGACGTGACGTCAAACCCCTCTCGTGACGTCAAAACCCCCCCAAAATTACCCCGCCTGGTTCTACCTGGGCCCTGAGGGTGCCCAGGAGCCGCAACCGCGGGGCGGCCGCCGCCATCATGGCGGGGTGAGGGCAGCAGGGGGAGGGCGTGGCTTGGGCTGTCAATCAAAATCCACCTCTTCCCATTGGTGGGTTGAGAAAAAGGGGAGGGGTTTTGAGTAGCGCGCGTGCGCAGTGAGGGAGAAAAGGCCACAGGCGCCATTTTGAGTGAGGGCAGCCCGCAAGGGGGCGTGGCTTAGAGGAGGCGGGAAGGAGGTTTAGTCAATAGGAGCGTATTTTTGGTTTCTTTTTTAAATTAGTTTTATTTTTAGCTTTTGATTCCCTTTACCCCCTCCCAGTCCCTCCCAGTCGAGCACAGTCCCTCCCAGTCCCTCCCATTCCCCTCCCAGTCGCTCGCAGTCCCTCCCAGTCCCTCCCAATTTCCCTCCCAGTCCCTCCCAATCCCCTCCCAGTCGAGCGCAGTCCCTCCCAGTGCCTCCCAGTCCCTCCCAGTACTTACCAGTCCCTCCCAATTCCCTCCCAGTCCCACCCAATCCCCTCCCAGTCGCTCGCAGTCCCCCCCACTCCCTCCCAGTCGAGCGCAATCCCTCCCAGACCCTCCCAGACCCTCCCGGACCCTCCCAGACCCTCCCGCTCCCTCCCCATCCCCTCCCAGACCCTGACATCTCACTCCTGCCTTGCACTTATATAGTGCATTTAATTAGCATCTAATTTGCATGTCATTATGACGTCCTAGTCAGGCGGGGGGCGAGGCTCCACCCCTTCCCTAGGCCCCACTCCCCTCAGTGACGTCACACGGCGGCGCTTCCAAACTGTGCTTTATTGGTGGAGGGAGAGATGTGACGTCACAGAACGATGACGTCACTTGGGAGGGGCAGGGCCGGTCTCAGTGCTCCCAGGGCCCCCTCCCAGCACCTCCCAGCGCCACCCAAATGCCCTCCCAGTCCCTTCTGTGAGAAAAATCTCATTTATTGAATTTAGAAAGACGGCAAAAGTTTGCAAAACAAAAGGAATAAAACGAAAAGGAAAAATCACAACACGTGTTGGGTGTCCTAGGCACGCAGGATTCCCAGGAACACACCCTTCAATTCTAAAGTCCCGCTTTTTAAACATTCTTAAGGTTCAACCCCGTTTACATCATAGAAGAGGCGTTCCCCTCTTTCTGGTTGGCTGTGTCGTGCTGGGAGCTGGAGTGTCCAGCAGCACGGCAGCTTCCAGGACCAGCCATGTGGTATAAGGGGCTTCCTTACCAATATTCATTTACAGTTCCCTATTCCATTTGCATGTTTCCCTGACACCAGTTCCAGGCTGAATCTGGCGTCTTACAACTCCGCG